AGGGTAATACATGTATTTGAAATCACCAACTTTTCAGGCTATTTCTTAGTCGTAACAAATCGACATAACCCTTAATCGTTTAACATTCATGATGAATTCATTGTCAAAAATAGCCAAAATAAATAAAGGATACGACATCCCCTGGAATCGCTTGTCATTGCCAAATGAAAGATATGCATGTTAATAGGCCATTGCCTCCCTTTTGACCAAACTTTGTACGAAGAAATAAGCACTTCTTCGAATGTTTGTGTGTTCATCGTTAAATACGCAGTCTGTGAAGTTCTAATTGTTGACGTATTTATTTGTAGGAATTGACTTCAATAAGTTTTGGCGTTTATGAATATATACAAGTGTGCATTTTCCTTAAACTTACACAGTATGCACACCGTTTTTAGTTTATACCGGAAAAGTACCATTTTATCTAAACCAAATTAGCGGTGGGCATTAGTTCCTATATTGTATTTTTGTATAACTGTATAATGTATTGGTATGTGAATACAATGATAAGAAGTGTTCAGTGATCCAGGACGTTTAATCCTCTATGACAGTGTCCACGGATTGTTATGTATATGGATTCATAGTCTGAGGCAGGATAAAATACCATATTTATATTCGAGTTCCGCACTGTGTCCTCGCATATAATTTGTTTCCTCCTTTCACCGTAAACATCCGGGTTAGCAAGAGGCGACTAACGGGATCGGGTGGTCAGTCTCGCTGACATTGTTAATGCATGTCATCGTATCCCAAAAGATGTTCATGATTTCATTCCCTAGACTTTATGGTCCAGGCTTGATTAATTATAGACCGCAGTCATATATAGCTGAGATATTGCTGGGTGCGGCGTTAAACAAACAGAACAGAAATGTTATCAAACCACGTCTTTCAAAGGCTCTGCTGTCAAAATGTTTCATTTACCTATCTTGATCTGCAACACGTACAACATACTCTTTAGCAACCCATGCTTGCCGTAAAAAACGACTTTGCTTGTCGTAAGTGGCGCCTAACGGGATCGGGTGGTCAGACTCGCTGGCTTGGTTGATGCATGTCATCGCATCCAAACTGCGTGGATCAAAGTTCATGATGTCAATCACTGGATTGTCTGATCCACACTCGATTATTTACAGACCGCCGTCATATAGCTGGAATATTGCTGAAGGCGACGTTAGACAACAGACAAACAAACAACAACATGACACGCCAACATTGTACAACCGACAGGCCTCACACAACACTTTAGATTTTGCAATCACGAAAGTCCGTGTACTTTCCATGCGAATTACTGAAAGATAGTGTTGTCATGCTTTTTAACAAATGGGTTACTGAAAGCTATTTCACCCTTTGCAAAATCTATCATTGTCTCGTTTCTTATGTTGACTCCAATTCTTGTTGCACATATCCGCCTGTCAGCTGAATTCTTCTAGGGACATATTTAGTATCCAATTAGTCAGTACATCATCGTGTGGTCTTCACATGAATCACATATGTCGACGGGAGTCTGTTTAATTGTGAGTACAATATACCTGATGAATTATTTACAGTTTGTGTCTGTCTGGAAACGTGGGCTGTAGCACCAACATCGCCTACTTGTACCAGCCAATGTGTTTTAAACCAAGAACGATTGCATGATTAATTCATGGAACAAACTATAATTTGAAGCCTTCAGCTAGTCACGCTTGTAACAACATAATTGGACTAATTTAGTTTTTTATTATACGGACGTTATTGTGTTACCTTGTTCTTTTTCTTCAGGAAATCTTGTCTCAGACATTTATTTGAAAAAATGGGTACACAAAGTTCAGGCAAACTAAGAATAGTAACAATTTGTTTCTCTACGTTGTATGTTGAAGACAGACATTTCGTCTAGTTACTGTTAACGTATGGCTTGAAAACACTATTAGTCGGACCCTGGATACTATACTTCAGAAAGAACCTCTTAAAATCTACACTATCAGCGATGGAATAAAATGTTATTCTCCTATCTGTGGCGTTCAATTAGTACAGAATGTGAGGATGCAACAATATGATGAAACATGCACCTGATGAAACCAATACCCGTATCTGTATGCACAATGGTATTAGTTTTCTTTATGTATTAGTGGTTTAAGTACGTGGTCCCGTGTTAAGCGCACAGGTCACCAAATGGGTGAAGTTAAGCAACGTTGGTTGCGGTGAATAAGTTGGATAGGTGACCGCGTTCGGCATCTGAATCTGAGAGTTTCGCTCCCGACCAACCCTGAGGCACATGAAGCATAAATTGTGTCTCCCTATGCAGTAAATGGGTCCCCGGTAGGGGCAGATGGTAATATGACTGTTAGCCTTCTAGCGCCTCAAAGGCTGCTTGGGTTGTGTATTCTCCAGGGAGCTGACAGAATTAAATACACACGGATCTATTGACAGGGGTAATAATGTAGCACTTTTCACTTTTTGAATAAGTACATAAGTATTTATTATAAGTATGTACTGTATAACATTTTCTCAAGGGACTCAGATGACACAGCTGTGATATGTTTGTCCTGAACCCGCATCTCTGTATCCTTCCGTTGTAAAAAAAAGCTCTCAAAACAAGAAATGAACACAAAATGACTATTATAGTGCTTCAAGAATTGCATTATTATTTGGATATTCGATATTACATAATCAAAATGATGTTATGTATATAACAGTCAATCACTACAGTCAAAGAACAATTTGAATAATTCTGTTGTGTATGATAGAAATGCCAGTATACATCATTTTGAAATGTTTGTTTGTTGTCTAACGCCGCGTACAGCAATATTCCAGCTAAATGACAGCGGTCTGTCAATAATCGAGTCTGGACCAGACAATCCAGTGATTGACATCATAAGCATCGATCCACGCAATTGGGATCAATGACATGCATCAACCTAGTCAGCGAGCCTGACCACCCGATGCCGTTAGTCGCCTCTTACGACCATTTTGAAATGATTATAATTTATAAAGCATTTTTTGAGAAAAGATTTGAAAAATCATAGTTCAAAAACTTAAAATAAGACCGAAGACATAAAGAATGCACTTTTAGGTTTATCAACTCTACGAAACCCATGTCTTACGTAACTTGGTAAACAACGTTTTTACCTAATCCAAATTTAGAAGTTTCAAGGACGAACTCAAGACTCTTAAGTTGAATTTGTATGTATTTATATCTCGTTTCTGTTCCATCTTGAAGTACATGTACTGCCCAAAGCTCAGAGCAGATTGTCTGGGGGCCATGATTAAAATAAGGATGACTAAGTTCATGATATATGTGTACCTGTGTTGTCCGTCGGACTCATGTCTAGGAAGGTATACTTTGAGAAATTTTACGAACATGAAACCTTAGCAAAGTATTTTTAACCAATTTAACCATCCGTTCCGTATTCCAGTGGGGCAAGTTCTAGTTGTTTTCTTGTTGGCAGAGATCTGATTTTTAACCCTTTTTGTACATTCAATGTGCAGGGAGAAGAATTTGATACAAGCAAAGCAAAGTTCCCCGTATCCCTTCCCCAGACCGTAGGCACTTAAAGCAAAGCCGATGCTCTGAATAACTACTAAAACCTATTTATGGGCCTTTGTAAAGGGTTTACAATACAGGGGATCATCGGTAGGTGATTGTCCTCTCACTAACACTCTATGGCCCCCTTAACAGACGAGCGGTGTTTCTGTGTAGATTTTATCGCGTGATGTCGAACGCAGATAATCTGGCATCACTTGAGGTTTGCTCAAATTGAATAAACAGACAGATAGGAGTGTTTATCAGAGATTCCAGATTCTCTGCAACAACGATTCAGCCACTTATTTGTCCATTATTCAAGGAGGTGCACATCTCAGAAATTACCCTGTAGATCTTGGAAAATTCCATAAGCCTGTCTATATTTACCGTTATGGTGAAGCATGGCGGTGGTCTTTTCTACGTTCTTTTCCTATGTTTGCACCTGCTGATGTGACTACCAAATATCGATGGCATATGATAAAGGTTGCTTGGGAGAACCGTTCTTCATTACAGCTCTTAAAGTCAGAATGGATGTTGAAACACTATTTTAATTTTGAATAATGATGTGACATGACTATGAAATCTATAATGATGTTTTGCCAACACAATCTTATGGGTGATAACGTTTTTGTGGGTATTCACACAACGTCACACCATCCATTCACTTCTGAATATTTCCAGTTGTCATGCCATATCATTGATGTATACCACCTCATAAGTGCAATCAAGGTTTTGTTGAAGTATTTGTTTCTAAATATTTCCAGTTATCATGCCATGTCATGGATGTATACCACTTCATAATGGCTATCAACGATGTGTATTGTATTTGTTTCCATGTCATTTATTTATAACACTTAATGTCTATCAAACATGTTTGAGCACATTTGTTAAGAGTGTATATCTTTGTTAATTTCCATGCTATCCTCATGACATATGTGTGGGCATGCTTGTTCTGATTTTGCTTATATAGCTAGTGCTTGTTTTATCATCTTAGTTCCTCATTTCACATAGAATCAGAATGAATGAACCAATTGTTTTCTTAGGTGATTGGTACCATTGTACGAAATATATAAATACATGATATGATATGACCGTTTTGTATAGAGTAAAAGTTGACATATCTATTTCAGATGTATGAGATATTGATGCACGTGTTCAAGACAGTGAGAAAACAATAGAAAGTCATGAATCAATAAGAGCAATAGCAGATGTTCTCACTCAAACACAACATTTTAAAACAAAAAAGAACAGCATTTGTTATGAATAACTTAGTTCAATTGCTGTGTGAAGATATATATAGTCCTTTACTTCCTAGTATGTTCTTGCCTTATATGAAATAATTACGCATGTACGTATGTATGCATATGTAACTGTAAAGATGAGAAAAGTACTTGTTTGATATAAAACATTTGGCTAGCAGCAAAAAAAATTGGCGGTGTTTCACGTCAATTTCAGTCATAAGGGAACGATAGCAATCTGGTTCTTATTTCATCTGTTTCTCTCATTACAGTTCCTGGAGAAGAGGCGGGTCGCCAAACTCAAGCTTGAAACTGAACGGGAATTTGGGGAAAAGCTCTATCAGAGACACACCTGTTAGCCTCAACACCAACCCAACGTACAACACGCCTCAAGTGGGATCTACACGAGGGCTTATCTTCACTAGTCGGTGTAGTCGTTGCGGTCGATGTAGCAACAGCAGCAACAACAACCATCGCCTCCGCTACAAAGGTCACTGCGAGAACGGTGTATGCAGGCATAAACGTGACAACGGAAAGAACCGACGGTTCACGACTGGTGATGTTCGGTATTGCTGTTTTTCCAACACGTACTAGTGTTCGCATGCTATCGTCCAAATGGCCTATTAATATTCTACGCACACATGTTGAGAATATTGAAGGAACAGCATATATATCAACATTGATAGTGACCGTTTTTGTCAACTTACGATATTGTGTCCTTGTTTTCGACATTTTGATGTTCCGAATTCAAACGGAAACGTCCATACCTGTGATGTGATGAGGTTGGCGAGCGTACACGATACCTTTCACGTAATTGTGCAAACATAAAGGAAATGATTTCTTGCGATTGTGAAATGGTTTGCTGAATCCATTGTGTACACATCCAGTTATATCGTCACACACCTATTCTGGTATGGTCAATGAACAATATTTGCTCAAGTGTATGATATATTGCCGAAGATGACATTTATGTTGACACTAACCTGATATCTTCACATACAAGGACTGTGTTTCCAATGCTACAGACTAGAGATTTGGTCAGCGTCAATCCGAAGAAGCTACGCTGACGTTATTCTTCCTGATCTTTCACCTGAATATTTCATGAAATATGTTTGATACCAATTAACAGATGATATTCTTCTGAGATAACTTATAATGAGTTTGTGTACTCCACAACGGCTATGACATATCTGCGGCTGTTGACTAACCCTGATTGTGTTTCCGATATTATGTCATCATATGCCAGTCATTATTATGTTGCTGATGAGCTCAACTGTCTCAGGCCAGTAGAGCTTTTATAATGTCGTGGCGTCCGGTGCCTGTCGAACCGACCGCCGTCCTGCGAAACACACGTGTGCTTTCCTGATGATTATTTGTACAAATATTGATGAATTTGAACTCATTTGGTTATGGACAGACCCTAACTACGGACAGTTTGATTACCTGAAACGTTACATGAACAGAACAACACTGATGTTAGGATGGTTACCTGGTGATCAGTTGTAGCCGTGCATACCTAAATAGGGAACGAATCTGTCAAAGAGAAGTCAAAGCTAGTTAGTTGCCTTAACCTTAAGCCAGGATAAAATGGTTTCTTGGTAATTTCCACAGACGGAATTACATCAGAATCAATAAGTGTACAGGTAAAATATGCAGGTCACTGGACAATTTAAATACATGAGTTTATATCGATGCCAAATGTCTAGAATCAGTTGAGCACATGTCCAAAAGCATTGAATATCTCATGATTGTATATAGAAGTCATTTTTAAAATAAAATATTGGTGTCCAGAAGAATATATATTAACCTTTATATGTGTCCTTTCTCAACAACATCAATACATTCCTAGATGTGCATTATATCATTTCTCTCTATGTATTTAAGATGTCAATTATGATAAGTTATTGTCAGTAGGAATTCTTTAATGACTTTTTAAACATAAGTTTTAAAATCAACTTTATCCCATTCATTCATAGCTGACGTATTTCGTAAATGGTGTTGGGTGATCATGTTCGAACAAGAGACACTGGTTTCTCTTTTTTTTTAGACACATAGCACAAAGTATGAAATAAAACAAGATTTCTTAAAGTGTTAACATATCCTTTTTTGGAGTGAATTCTATGTTTCTTTAAAATACCACTCCCTCGACCTCAGAGACAAGGATAACAGCAAGGTATATTCTCCGACTTGTTCATTTTTTCTTTACTTCAAGTTTACAAATGTGTATGTTAGCAGATTTGCATTAATTTCATGTCTGACTGTCATTTCCTCATTTAGCATAATCCTTTTATGTCACAAAATCGTTTCAGCGGATAATAATACTATTATCGTGTTTTCAAAAAGTATTGGAAAGGTAACTTGAACGTATATGCATGACAAGTGAAGAGATAAATGTTGCTGTTATATGCTTTAGGTTCGTAACGTCATCCAATTATTTAGCTATAACACGCTGAATGATTCTTAATTGTCTGTACTGATTGAAAGTATTGATAACGAGAAGCCTATGAAGCATATATGTAGAATACATCCCTCTTATTTCAAACGGGACAAATAACACCACTCTGACATGGCTAGACGTATTTGAGAAATGAGCCTTGTGCATGGCGTTCTGCGTGGGAAACGAATTCAAAATAGACCATGATCAGCGAACGAGTCATCCCAAACTAGCCGACTTCCACAATGACGGCATTCATATTCCTTATTGTGTGTCGCTTATGCATAATACAGCAAGCTGGTTGAATCTGTGATATAAATCCAAGGGTGACGTATGCACGTCATTATATGGTGATGTATAAAGACAATATCGACGTAGATACGGTCAAGAACTAGTTACCCGTTTGCTTCCATGTCTAACCTTAACTATATATTCAATGTGACATGAAACTGTTTGGATAACATTTCGGATGAGGCAAATTTTGCCGTAGCTACAATCCAATATACAGAGGGACAAAATAAACTGTACCTCTCAGTTGATTTTATCATATGTTTGATTTCAATTGAAAATATCTTAAGTTAGCTATACTATATAAACATGTTTTACAGTACTAGGGCTCAATCAACACTCAAAGAATAACTCTACATGGTAGTATTTTTTAGAACATAATTCGAATTAAAAACTAACGAAACGACTGAGTATACTATGAAGGTTCTATGAAGTCAATAAATTTTGTTTTTAGGCATATATTATCATCTCAAAGATAGTTGGGGTCACGTGGTTGCAAATTCATTCATTTGCTATTGTCTAAAGCTGGTGATTCGTATGTTAGGGACCGACCTGGTGGCTTTCTGTGAGTGACAGAATATGTTCTCGGTCAAGGTATATATTTTTCTCTGCAGATTTCATTTTTATTATCAAGCACATTAAAGAATTAATGTTTAAGATACCTTTGGCAAGATTATTTCCCAGGCCTGTCCCTTGTTAACAAAATGTAGATCATGAGACAAACACGTACTAACAAGTTATTACAAATTAAATACACCACGCTTAAGAAGAATAGATGGAGTGTACATAGTTATGTTTATCTCATGAACTGTTAAACAGTACGTTTGCTGAGGATATGTGTATCGAATGGACTGTAAACTTCCTACATGCATGTGGCAGTTTTCATTTTCTATATGTTGGTATTACTGAGTATAGGATTATACAGCATGTGCACTGGTTGATCCGCGACAAAACAATGTTGCAGCTTATATGTTCAACGCACTTGTTTCATGATTTCATGAAATTTTGGAATGTTCAGTGCGAGTGATATTAGACTTCAACAAGACTTCTTGATAAAAGTATTAACATTATTTGATTTGAAACAGCCGGACAAAAGAAAGCATAACCCAATGTTTGATGGTGTCTAAAAATGAAACAAACAAGAAACGGTTAATCGACGGTGGTGTATTTGATACGGGTATCATAGTTGTCTTCTAGGCTTAATTTGCAGTGTTTCGGCGATTGTTATGAACCTTATTATGTTTTGATATCGTTTGTAATTTGTTGGTCTACTACAATTCTCCATTGTATACTTTCTTTTGCCCGGCGCTATGTATACCTTTTGACCCCTTCCCACCAGCTGGATACTAGTACTTCATAATTACAAAGATGTCTTTTTAAATTTGTAAATTTGTAGCATAATAACTTCAGTTAACATTCCATACAAAAATCATGATCCCAAAACTGAAACAACATATACAAAATACTGGAAATAAGCAATCAGAAAACTAACCATACGTATCTTAAAAACTCTTCTAATGGAGACTTCAAAACAAACATATCCGTAAGTAGCAGATGGCTCTCCCTTATGGGCTTGAAGTGAAAGAAGCAAAAGAGGAAGATGAGATTAGATATCTGACTCACTGTAACGATAACCTCTGTATTCAAAGATACACGGCTCCGTACTTTCACTCTTTCAAACTAATTGACGCTATGTCCCGTCGTCCTGTGTCAGTTGGGATACAATGGTTTATTTTGTACCTACCGCTAAGCGGTATGTTAACAACTGTTGTCAGTGTACTTGGTTGTAGGTGTTGTTGATTTTGTCCTAGCTCTACGCGTCTTTCCATATTATATGACACAGCTAAGTACTAAGTACATTGCCTGCCTACAGGTGGATTGCTTGAGTACGGTATTTGTTCATTATGAATAAACTTATCGATTGTTCAAGTGTCTTTTCTCTGTGTTTTTCATGGATTATATGGACTTCTTTGGAATCTTATCAAGACCTACAGGGTGGATATAAAAAATCACTAAATGTATTTATCGACATAATACCAACCCAAGAACGTACGTCCAATAGCTGTGCCTGGATTTGTTGATTCCAATCGCATTTTCGTCCCAATAATGTATCTTGATCACCCTTTTCACAAGATAATGTTGCACTGATAATTTCATATAAATACGAGTATAAAGCGTCAACGCCAGAGATCGACCATTTCCAGCCACCAATACACACATTCCGCCGAACGTAAAAGGCAAAACAGCGGGGGGGATTCATGAATTGATCACCTCAACACGATCAGACACTCAGCAAAATGTTAATTTAGCATTAAATTCATGCCAAGTAGCCAAGTCGACACTCTTGGTCTAATAACAGATTCGCGCTTGCCTTTAACAAACTCACAATTTTTTAGAAATTACATTTCCCGTCGTTCGAGTTACTCATGAGAGAACTGCATGGTGAGGCAAGTTTCAATAACGGATTCATTCAGTAACGTTGAATAATTGATTCTTTCAGTTCCGAATGTTTTTACTTTGTGCTGATTACTTTATTCACCAAAATGATTTTAGAAAACACGACTATCAGAATAACGTTCACGTGTAATTAACGCAAGAGTTTTTAGCAGAATCTTTCTTATATGGCTGAGTTTACCAATCCCTCCATGCGAGGCCTGTTGATTTCCCTTGTTGTATCCTTTGAGTTTGATTAATCTGAGAAACAGAAATTACATAACAGCCCAATGACGATAAAAAAAATGCACAAGTGTGTCGAATCAGTGTGGCAGTGACGGTATTCCATATTCTTACACTTGTTTTCTTTTCCCTTCTAAGGAGCATTATTGAAACTGAATCAGCCTAAACATTTTGCGACTGCGGTGTTGATAGAGAGTTCGCAAATTGAGGCAGGCGAAGATACCCAGCAGGCTGAGCTATAATCATTATCTTCAGATGCTGTACCTGCTGTGCCGCTGAACGGTCTCCAATGACCCAACTTTATTTTTAGCTTATTTAACACGCCAAGGATGTCTATGGATGAGCCTCAGTTGGGATTGCGGGGCAGAAAGGGACCAGGAGCTTTCTAACGCAGAGATATAAAAGGATGAACTGAAGGACCAATGAAGTACCCAAACCTTTCGTCCTTTACTCCCATTATCATGATTATGGTTTAATTCAAAATAGGTTATTGCATCAGACATCGTTTTGGTCACTAATGCTTCAAATTTGGACATGTCCTCCAAACGTCTGCCATAAGCTTTTTGCATATCATAGATAGATATGACATTGCATGGACAGCTTCTCTACAACACAAGTCCAGTGACCTGCTTCTGGAGAACCAGTGGAGAACAATCGTAGAAAACATCTACGAGCTTAAATAACTGATAGGCAACTGTAAAACGATCTAATGGAACAGTGTTACTAAAGGTAAAGTTTGGATGAGTTTGAACAACGTCCTTGGCGTGTTTGTGTTGATATATTTCTAGGATGTTGCTACCGAGATACGGCAATCTGAAGCGGGGTTAATGATGTTGGCAGTACCTGACAGAGATGGGCTTGATACTACACAGGCGAGTATGGTATCTGATTCGGCATTCCTGGCTATCTTCAAGCAAAAGCTAAAAAGATTTACATGTACACTCTCCACTGCATTCAAATAGATCCTACATCTTGAAACAGAATCTAGATTTCAATGATTCACTCCAAGAGAAGCAGGGTTAATGTCCAGCTGGCTTAGCCAGAAAAAGGAAACCAAGGATTGGTTAGCTTAATAAATAACTGTGAATAGGAACTAAGTGAATAAAAAAAAAAAATCAATATAAACACTTCAAATTAATGTTTATGGATACATTTTTTATTATTATTATTATTATTATTATTATTATTATTATTATTATTATTATTTACAGATTAAAATAGAAAATGCAGGAAAGAGGATTCGAGTGATCCTGGCACAATCAGGCTTGTTTGGCTCATCATCAGCTCAAGGCCCTTGCTCCCTCTACTAGCAGCCCAGACAGCGAATAAGACTTCTCACAGGAAGCGCTGCCTAGTCGAACCCACCCAGAACTTTTCGGAGAATGTGAAGACTCCCCAACACTTCAGTCTTCTGCATTACCAAGATTGTCAGAAGGGCTGTATTCCTGGCAGCAAGCCTGGGGACTCTCCCAATGTCTAACAACAGATTGGGAGGTACCAAACCTAACACACCGAGAACAATGGGGAATCGGACAACCTTGTACTTGGGATGCAAGCGTGACATTTCGAAAGCGAGGTCTACATATTTGACATGTTTTTCCTCAATCTTGTCAATCACATTCGTGTCAAAAGGGACAATAAATATATTCAATAATATAAATGACTAAAAAGGACAAGATCAGGTTTGTTGGCCTGGATACGTCCGAGTCTGTATACGGGCCTTTTGAAAAGAAGTTTGCATATATCATTTTTCATGACGCTCTCTGCGTATTCTGGGTCGTACCATGGATGTATGGTGGCCGGGAGGGGACATTGCTTTCTCGCTCTATCGCTTTCTCGCGGTATAGCAATATTCCCTCTTGGCCACTATATGGGTCGCATGTGTTATGTGTTTCTTTACGATAAAAAGTATATACGTAAAACAACATTAATGAATTGTTAAACCTGACCTCAGTGGGCGGAGGCTGATGTGGATTTTAATCATAAAAGAGAGCTGAGATTTTTCCAGTCACATTTCAAATTATACATATGGACGGAATGTAGAAATTTTCTCACTATCTACTTAAATATAATTTAACAGTACAGACATAGGTGCTTTTATAACAATCCACGTATTTCTGCGTAAAAAAGACTTTGATTGATTTATGGCCCTATTTAGCTATTGGATCCCCCGCCCCTAGGCCAAGTTATCAAAACAAATAGCAAATAACAACGCGCATTAGCGCTGAGTAGTACGTACTTAAAAAACAACAATAGTGTTTTCCTAAAGACAACGCTTATATCAATGTTTATTCTGTTTGAGGAGTAGATGTCATCAAAGTGGAAGTCCTCACCCAAGCAATCATGGTAATACTACCGGATGTCCATTATGTAATTTCTAGTTTTGGGATGACATATTGTTCTCAGTAACCGTAATGTGGAAATAGATAGTTGATTGGTTTTATATTCAGGTTGTTATTTCCGCTATTCAAAGTGTGCAGGGAACCCGTCTTATAAACAGTCATTTCTGAGACATAAATGCAAAGTATAATTCATTAAGTCTACTCTCATTTTTTGCATTATTATATACCCTAACGTTAATTACAGAATTACAGTACATACTATTCAAAAGAAGTTAAAGAACACCCGATTCTTTCATATGACTATGGTTAGTCATTTGAGAGAGCGATAGAGCGAGAAAGCGAGAGAGCGAGAAAGCGATAAAGCGATAGAGCGATAGAGCGAGAAAGCGATAGAACGAGAAAACGATATTTCCAATAATGCCGTACATTAAAACGGTGTTTGCTGATATTTAGTGATCCATTCCTGTAATTCTCACCGTTATTTTGCCTCTTATGAATAGATTTGTTTAAACATCTTGTAGTAGATAAATATGTTACAAAATACACACATAATTCTTTCTCGTATAGCTTGTATATTTTCTTGTAGTGTAGTAAATAAGCAAGATTCACAGAATACAGATAGTCACTGTTCATATTTTCATTTTGTTCATAATACCTCCTCCCCCGGAGGTACAATGTGTGAATACCATTTCTGGTGTTCCCCGTGATATTACTGGATTATTGTTAAAAGCGACGTGACACCATTCTCACTCACTCACTCACAGCGGTGTTTATCAAATTACTATATGCAAGTACATAGATTTGTAGATTTGCACAAGATAAGAAACTCAATTCAAGTTAAACATACATCAAATGTCAAAAAGAACATTTACGGACAACAGTATGACACACTGTAACATATACTACTGAAAACAAGTTATAGAACACCCACAATTATAAGATTGTATTTTTGCAAAACAACCAGCCATGACTAATTAACCATAGTCTTCTTAACTTCTTTTGAAAAGAAGTATATAAATTATTTAGATTTTAATCTGATTTATTTAGAGCGTATTGCCATGATCTGCCACGCGCTTTCGGCGTGATGGTCACATGCACCTGAATAGGGCCATAAATCAATCAAAAACTCTGTGGATTGTTTTAAAATCACCTACGTCTGTACAGTTAAATTATGTTTTAAGTAAATAGTGAGAAAAGTTCAACATTCCCTCACAATTGCAGCAGATATCACATGCGGCCCCTATAGTGGTCAAGATGGGATATTAATTAACCGCGAGAAAGCGATGTCCCCTCTCGGCCACCATATGGATGGGCCTTTGTGTCCAAACCACTAGCATGGCGAAGGCGGTAATAAAATGATCGAGCCACTCCATCATGTCGCTTAAGATACTACGATTGTGCCAAAAGCTGGGCATCCACTGACAATGGGTTGGACAGTCTTATTAAATTCATTGCGTATTCTACATTTCAAATTTACATTTTGATGCAAAATCACACATTGATGGTTTCGTGTGGTAAGTGAATGGTCCTGAGCATCAAACAGAAAGCCTTCTGTTTCACTTTTAAGGCCAGCTGCCTTCATCCAAACGAAGGACTCAACACACTGCACATATACTGGATGCAGTGGTCGTTCAGATAGTCTCTCCCTGAAAAACTGGCCGAGTCTGGGCCACTTTGATATGGCACTTTGCTTAGTTGACACTCATTTCAGTACCGTTCAGCAGTACAGAACCATCAACGAAATTAGCAGTAGTAGTAGTAGTAGTAGTAGTAGTAGTAGTAGTAGTAGTATATGCCTTCTTGATTGAAGTATTATCATATTTCGGGAAAAGTAATGCTTATAGGTAATGATAGAGAGAAAGCGAGAGCACAGTAAAGTTCTGACTCTCAGGCACAATGTAGTATTAA